CAATAGCATAGGTAGCCCAACAATCAGTGGACTATATGGTATTCACATTCATTTCCGTCACAGAGTTATAACTAGTGTACTCACTTTTTGTGCGGCGGCTTGTTTAAAAACTTGCAGAGGACGCGCAGTTGATCTTTTCTGCCCGGTCGCTTGAAAAAAAGTGGGTACATGAAAGTGGTATAGTATTTAAGAGGAGATTTTTTAAAAATGATGTAAAGATTGTTTCTCAAGCAATTGATAAGTCCAGTTGGACTTGCAGATGAAGTACTTGAAAAAGTCAGTTTCAACTACAGACTAGTTGGTCCCCATTTCCATTTCACCCATATTGTTCAAAGCTGTTTTTATCAGTTGAAAGTTATCGTTTTGATGAAAGGAATTGTTTCCAACAATTTTCAGAAAGTTCGGAATGGGATGGGGAAAGTTTTTGCATTTTCAAAAATTTCCAATGGTCCTCCCTTTGTTGACCTCAGTGCTGTTTGTGGCCTTCCCTTTGCATTTGATCCAAATATTTCAAAACTAAATTCTTTTCAAGAGAGGAAGCCATTTCGACAAGTTTTTTCAGAAAGTTTGGACTAGTTTGGGGCAGTTTTAAAATTTTTTGAATTTTTGAAAAAAATCCTGCCCCCCCCCCCCCTTTGCATTTGACCAAAATTTTAAAAAATGTTTCATTAAAAATATAGGTACGCACTGCGTCAAATGAAATTCATATCACAACATAGCAGCCCAATGTCTGGACTGTGTTGAATAAGGGGGCCTTCTACCCTCATTTTTTTTGTTCGCGAACTATGTACAACAGTAGTTTTATCTTATTATGGTTTAATGTATATACAACATGCCATATATCGTTTTAAAGCTTATAACATTATCTACACAAATATCATTACGGATGATCTCCAAGGAAAGAACTTAAATGTATAACAACCATGTAAAACCGAAAAGGTTGATTTTTAACCCGTCCATGTTTGAATTCTATCTAGTAAAAAACTAAGCATCAAAACTTTGATATATTTAAGTTGAATAAAAGATTACATCCCAGTCAACAAAATAATGGGATGCTTTTTACACTCTGATAAAAATTGGACGTTCTATACCAAAATTGGTGTTAATGAATAAGACCTTACCTAATGGTAAGGATCTTATTTCATTAACACCAATTTTGGTATAGAACATCCAATTTTTATCAGAGTGTTTTAAAAAAATGCCGAGAACTTTGCAAACGCGTGACGTCACAGATTGCAACTAGGTTGTTTTTGCTTACGTCAGCTATAGAGTCCTATCCATTTATTTTATTATCCATGTTTGAACGAAAGTTTTTAACGATAATTTTCTTTGCAAAAACTGTACGTTCGAAATTCGTCAGCTTCTGAATTTGAAAACCGATCACACGCATTACAAGCGCAGCAACACGCAACAGTTTAGATAGGGTCATGAGGCAGGATGTGTACAAGAAAAGCTTTGCCAGAGTTTTGTGTTTCAAAATAGAACGACGATTGGAAATTACTGTTTGATTCTTTGTAATATCTTGTAGCTTGTTAGTAAAAAAGAAATTTGTCACTTTCCTCATCTAAACCTTTCTTCAGAAAAAACTGGCATCGTTTGTCTTGGGGTTAGGGGGTACAAATGGTACCCATAGCTTAGAGGGTGCAAATGGTACCCGTAAGAAGACTTGGTGGAAATCGTGTTGGTCGTTTGGATTGGCGAGAATAAGAGAATTATGGTGGCAAAGTTTTTTCAAACATTTTCTCTCCCGTAGCAAGGTAAAGCATGTATATTCCTGGTAGCCGGTCTTACTTCATGAAAAAACAGTCCGCTACCAGCGACTAGGTCCCCTCTCTTATGGCGGTCATTGCGGCTCAATGTGTTCAATGGAACACAAAGGTATTCAGGCATGTAGAGGTATTCCTTTTCAGGGCGGTTGCATGCGGATAATATGGTCCGTCGCGTGCGCAAAATAGTTAGGGAGATAGACAGTTTAGAAGCGTCCAAACTGCGCAATACACACTCGCACGAAACGTAAAAATAAAATGGCTTAATAAAACTGCGAAAACAAAAATTGACAACTTTGCCATTTTGAGCGTGTGCAATAGGGCGTGCGCACGCACAAAGTTTTTTCATAAGATGTCCTGGTTTTAACATAAATAATAAAAAGAAGTGTCCGTGGTCGGGGCTGAATAGTACTGTGGAAGATTGGGTTGGAAAATTTACAATTAAGATCTGTATTTTTGGACAATTATTACTGTTTGAAAAATAGTATCCTGCTGATGTAAAATAGCATCTAAAGGGTTTGGCAACAATGATGTCCAAAGAGAATGTTAGCCCCAAAGTTTATTTCATAAAATGAGTTATCTTTATGTATACTCAATTAAAAGGCAGTTCAGTTTTAATAATAATTGATATAAATTGAAACTCATTCTGGCTCAAATTTTATTTCATAAAATATTTTTCTCAGAATACTCAATTACATGACCATAGAAAAAGAATATTTGTTAAGTCAAAAGTTTAATAATATTTATCATAATTCATATTCAAAGTGACTTTGGCTCAAATTTTATGCCCGAGTAGATTGTGTCCACAGAAACCCGAGGTATTATACTAGATGCGAAATACAACGTTTTAGAAAAACATTAAAACTAAGTCTAAAGTCAGATAAGGTTTTCATATAGTCATAAGTCAGAGCATAATACTCGCCTTTTAAGCAAAAGCGAAAAGATTATTTTCGCCACAATTTCACGTAAACCCAAACGTGGTGACGGAATTTCCCAGCAATTATTTGTGCTGAATTTGTACTAAATCGAGAAATTTAACCAAAGTATAATTTTGCCCTCGCCTGGTTAGATAAGCAAGATTTGTGACGATATGGACACCACCCTGGGGGGGGAGGTCAATATATTAGAAGTTTGATTAGTACTAAGTTAAAGTTTTCGTCAAAAACACTACTGAAATATGGCTTTGACAGGGTTGACTTAGCCTGAAAACCCAATAATTTCCCATTCCTTCTCTGTAATATGCATCTTTAGTTCACTTTTATACATCTTTACGTAAAATGCTTCATATTAGATTCATATGACAAGTTGGGTATCCTATAACATAGATACGGCAGGCCCTCTACTCTCTGGAGATAAATTGGAACAGAATGGCTGACATTGAGTATACTTTAAAGAGACTTTAATGAAATAAAATTTGGGGCTAATGGCTTAATGCATATGTCGTCTTTCGTTTAAAGGAAAAATACCACACTCTCTAAGCGTCATTGTTGCTAGTAGTTGTGTATAAGCTTTATGAAAAAAATCAACGTCTTGAGATTTTGTTTTACTTATATAACTAACATGCTTTTTGTTTTTCAACAAGTAATAATGGTCTAGAAATACAGATTTAAATTGCACATGTTAGTTTCTTCACTTATTATTAGCATGACAAAATTACTGGATGCTGATTGGTTGAGATGAGTACAATTATTTCATTAATTATACTGCAGTACAATTAATGATTTTCCCACAACAAACAAAGTGGCAGAAAGGTATTTTAAACACAAGCGTGAAATGAAATTGCGCTAGAGGAACTAGATGAAAATACGAACAAAAGCACCACATTTTGGTTGAAAGTATGGCAGGACTGGGCGTAAATTGGTGAGAGAATATATGATGTTAACATTGAGAAGTATCCAATTGTCATGTCAATAATAAACAAGTAATCATGCGATGTTGCTCGTACAATTATGGATTAATAGTACTCGTGATGTTTGGAAATTTTGCCAAATTGAACTCGCCCCGGCGGCTCGTCCAATTTTGGCAAAATTTCCAAACATCACTCGTACTATTAATCCCTAATTGTACTCGCCATCGCATGATTACCTATACTAACTGCACAATTATTGCGAAATTGTGCGTTTATCACATTAAAATTTATTTAGTAAGGTCTGTGGAACATTGGCACAACTGCTTGTTCTCATGCATAAATTTTTAACTAGTTTTTGGGATTGGATTTATTCAAATTTGAGGTGATTTTGAACATATATTGGTATGTTACTCACATTATGATACGAGTAAAATATTGTTCGTTTATACTTTGTTCTAGTTTTTATAGCTTTTATATTGTCTTAGTTAGCAGTTGAAATATATGCGATTGTTTACGAAATATATTGAATTATTTTGTTAATTGTTCGTTCATTTTATACATGACGAAACCCGAAATCAATAGTTCGATGGTCACAAAAATTTGAGCATAAAAATGTTAAAATTGGTGCACCAAAACACTAGCTATTATATTTGAAATCACTGGAACACAACTAGTTTTAAATACGTTTGAATTTAATTTCATAACATGCAGTATTTCAAACGTTTTGAAACAGATAATCGATCAGAACGTTTGGGATGCAAGCATGTATGAAATTCAATTCAAAACTAGCTGTGTTCCAGTTATTTCAAATATAATATCTAGTGTTTTGGTGTACAATTTTAACATTTTTATGCTCAAATTTTTTGTGACCATCAAACTATTAATTTCGGGTTTCGTCATGTATAAAATGAACGAACAATTAACAAATAATTCAATATATTTCGTAAACAATCACATATATTTCGACTGCTAAGACAATATATTTAAAAGCTATAAAAAACTAGAACAAAGTATAAACGAACAATATTTTACTCATAGAATGAGTAACATACCACCAATATGTGTTCAAAATCACCTCAAATTTGAATAAATCCAATCCCAAAAACTAGTTAAAAATTTATGCATGAGAACAAGCAGTTAGTTGTGCCAATGTTCACAGACAATTCACAGTACTATTTGGTTTGTGGGTTCAAATCCCAAAACGCTTAATTTTTATTTATAAAAAAGGATCCAATGGATCCAAAGGATGCGATGGATAAATAGATCCTTTTTTAAAAGGATCCAAAGGATCCGATGGATAAATAGATCCTTTTTTTTTAAAGGATCCAATGGATGCGATGGATCCAAAGGATCCGATGGATAAATAGATCCTTTTTTTTTAAAAGGATCCAATGGATGCGATGGATCCAATGGATGCGATGGATCCAATGGATGCGATGGATCCAATGGATGCGATGGATCCAATGGATGCGATGGATCCAATGGATGCGATGGATCCGATGGATCCAATGGATGCGATGGATCCAATGGATGCGATGGATCCAATGGATGCGATGGATCCAATGGATGCGATGGATCCAATGGATGCGATGGATCCGATGGATGCGATGGATCCGATGGATCCAATGGATCCAATGGATGCGATAGATCCAATGGATGCGATGGATCCGATGGATCCAATGGATGCGATGGATCCGATGGATATCTATTTATGATGGATATCCATCGGATCCATCCGATCCATTGGACCCTTTTTTTTTATAAATAAAAATTAAGTGTTTTGGGATTTGAACCCACAAACCCAATAGTACTGTGAATTGTCTGTGAACATTGGGCACAACTGCTTGTTCCCATGCATAAATTTTTAACTAATTTTTGGGGATTGGATTTATTCAAATTTGAGATGATTTTGAACACATATTGGTACCAATGTTACTCATTCTATGAGTAAAATATTGTTCGTTTATACATCGTTCTGGTTTTTATATAGCTTTTATTGTTTTAACAGTCGAAATATATGTTGATTTTGTTGAATTATTTGTTAATTATTCGTTCATTTTATGCATGATGAAACCCGAAATTT